TCATTTCGATGAAACAATTGACGTCCTAGTGATAAAAGTTATTGAAAATCTCCCTTAAGTCTTGTATTTGAAACCTTGGGTAGCAAATTTAAGGAAAATTTTCCAAAAGCTTTAAACCGTTTGATTCAACGATTTAACTGTTTGTATCGGTTTGAATGGTTCTCTTGGTTTTGAGTGGTTCAACAACTTTATCAATTCTAAATATTGACCCGATTTGTTTATAGTATCGGTATTGGTCAGACCAGTTCAATTGACCGATCGGATCCAGTTTTTAAAACAATGCAATCAACTTAGATTTTAGATTATTATACTTCTAAAATGTTACTACTCATGTGACAGTATGATTTTGTATCCCATTTGATATACTTTTTCAAGTTATACTAAACCTACTTTTATCTATTAACCCACTATATCCGTATGTGAATTTAAACAAATAAATATGCATTATATTATGTGAAATTCTTTAGTTTATCATATCCAATCAACTTAGATTTTAAATTATTATACTTTCAAAATGTTACTACTTATGTAACAATGGGATTTTGTATCATATTTGATATATTTTCTCAAATTATACCAAACCTATCTTTATTTATTAACCCACTATATCCGTATGTAAATTTAAACAAATAAATATGCATTATATTATGTGAAATTCTCTAGTTTATGTAGAAATTTAAGAACACTTATCACTAATACTATACAAATCATGTTGGCCAATTTCTGGCTTTCATTCAATTCATGGCATATATTATTAGAAGTTATTGCATAAAATCTCCTTTCGGTCTCAATTATGCCTTCCATATCAATTTTAATGGTGATCAAGTATGAAAAGCATTAAAAACAATAATATATACTCATTATAAAATAGCAATATCAGAAGTATAAAAATCACAAAAATATATATTGAACTGATTAAGCTACATCATAGTCCTAGTTAACTAAATTAGCTCATAATAAAAATAGTAAAATTTGAAATCATAGTTATGAATATAAGAATATCAAATAATAAATAAAAATAATTTAAGGAAAAACAAAACTTAATAATTTGAGAAAGTTGAAATATTTGATTTTCAATTGTTGATAAATTCTCTATCTTGATCTCTCAGAGTGCCCAAAAGAGAGCTGCTACCAGCCTCTAAAAGCTCTTCAATTCTAAACTTGGATGAATATTTATAGTTTTTTTAAAAATCTAATTGGAATAGATGTGGAACCCACACCAAAATAATAATTACACGCTCGGACTTGTTGAAAATGCATAAAGGGTCGACACCCAGAAAAAGGTGTTGATGCCTTCACTATATCTACAAGGAAGAGTCCATGTCGGGATTTTGGAGTTTAAGGCCTCGTTTGGTATAGCGGTTTTGGGGTAGCGGTTTTGGGGTAGCGGTTAACAGTTTTACCTAAACCGCTAAAAATAAGTGTTTGGTAAACTTATATATTTCGAAACCACTACAAATAAAGTGTTTGGTAAAATTTTTGTTTAGCGATTTGAGACTAGCGGATAACGGCTAGAGTCCAAACCGTTAGCAGATTGAAGAAGCTAGTTTATATAGTTTTTTGTACCAAACCACTAGTGATTTAGAATTTTTTAATTTTATTGGCCAATTTATCCATTTTAAATTTTTAATTTTTGGTCACATTTTTTAATTAATATTTATCTAATAAATTTCAATTTTGTTTTTTACCTTTAATAATATTAAGTGATTATAATATTTTTTTTGTACATTAATTTATAATTAAAAAATATATTATCTTAAAAAACAAAATTTGTTAATTAGATAAAATGATTAATTTTTT